TCATATTCTGAACTTTATATAACATACAACTTGCAATATCAGCTTGATCATCATGTGTGTATATATTATGTCCTTATTTTGTTGCATTTCATGGATGTCATAACATGATTGCGTTCTGAGTAGCATATGAGCCCGCATCTGTGTCTATTCTTGTCATCATGTTTGCGAGATACATGAGTGCAATATGAGCTCATTATGCATATTTTTGTCTATCTGGGTTGTTGAGACATTATTGCAACCTGTAATTGTAATATTTCATGAGAATGTGACAGCATCATTCCAACTGTTACGTCTGGTCACTAGGGGTGAGTTCCATTTGGCGATCACAACGCTCCTAGGATTATTTTATCCTTGTTTTTCATCGAAAGTTAAACGAGGATAAAATGATTCTAGGAGCGTTGCGATCGCCAAGTGAAACTCACCCTAGACGTGTGTAGAGAATTCTGTAATATCGACTATTAGCGCGAAATTTGAAATGCCTCCTTATTTTTTAGTCACCCTGCGTTTACCGGGTTTACTAGGGATACAGGAGGTAATGATCTATCGTGTGAAAGGATACGAATAAAATAAAATAAAAATAGATTAAATTAGCTCACCTAATTTTAATTAGAAGCAAATCCTTATAGATACGTCTTAATAATGCAGATATTACACTGCTAAATATGAACTGGATAACTCAGTGATTTCAACTGGACAATGCAGAGAAAAATAGTATATAGAACTTAATCTGACTTAACAGTGAGTCTGCTGGAAGAGAACTGTCTCGCGAGCGATGATGTACGTTGGTCCTCTTGTGGTGGGGAGTAGGCCCTCGAGAGTATCACATAGATTTTTAATCGTCACATCGGCTTTTTGATACGTTGGAATATCGTTTGGCTGGAAGTTGATATGCAGCTCGTTTTCGTTTATAGAAGATAGCCGACGGATAAGATGGGTGTCTGGTAACCTTTTTAGACGAAGCCGACTTGCTTCCGTTGTTGCCTTTTAATCTCCCGTGAAATTATTTCATCTGCCTTTGCTTATGTTATTCTTATTTCTTCGCTCATTTGTTCAATACATTGTTCAGTTATGCAGTATTCTTATAGCTATAATATAATTAATATTTTTGTTAGGATTATGGAACAAACAACCAGACAGATTTTACGGAAAGGCTTATTAACTTTATTGCACAAAAGTAAAGAAGAACGAACGTATATTATTCACGTGTGTAGAGAGCGCTCTTAGTCAATCAACTAACTAGTCGAACTAGAACTAAAAAAACAAGGATAAAGAAATATAGTAACATTACATACATAGCACTCTATGATACTTCAGTTGGCAACTTGCATTTCCAACACTCCTCTTCAAGTTGACAATTTAAACCATTTAAAAACGTTAAACAAAAATTAATTCTTATAAATACCAATGCTTGATCGCAACTTAATAAACTGCTCACCAGTCAATCCTTTGGTAAGCATATCAGCTATTTGTTCTTTGGTCGGTATATATAAAACTTTTATAAACTTCTTAGCGCAAAGTTCTTTAACAAAATTATACTTAACATCTATATGTTTTAATCTACGATGTTCCCATTTATTGAGTAAATGTATGCAAGATTGATTGTCCTCAAAAATAGTAATGGGATCGTTACAGTTTATACCAAGATCAGTCAACACATTGTGTAACCACATCACATCAGTTACTGCTTTGTAGCC